AGAGAGAGAGAGAGAGAGAGAGAGAGAGAGAGAGAGAGAGACCTTGCCTACCCTCTCTCACTTGTCTTGATCTCTGTCATCACTTATCTTTGGACGATATTAGACCTTGGACCACTGTAGTCCCCCTCCCTTGGCTTGTTCCAGTTTGCTGCACCGCTCGTTTCTTCCCTTCTTACACATTAGAACGACAGAAACCAAGCAATTCAATGCAAGGGCTCAGACAAGAAGGCGTTGTGATCTTTACCGATGTGAAAGGCGTAGAAATGTACTACTGTTGGCTGTTCATCAGTGAATGAGAGACCTGAACTACTTTTGTACGAGTTGGAGTAATCATTAGGGTAATGAGTAAAGAATGTGTATAAGATAGCCTGTCACTGTATTACACTTTGGATTTCCATATCATATATTTCTGTCTTGTTTTCTTTCCTCAACTAATACTTTTGACTCAAGCACAGCGATGTGTATGAGTCCTTGATCTTATCTTTTGAAGATAAGTATAGCTTAGGTCAAATCTTAATGCATCCGAGTCATTTGATTCCATCGATACCAAATGCCTGAGCTGATGGATTAATTAACATATTAACTTCGTTTGACATAAATTATTATTCAAAATATTTAATCTAAAATTAATAATAATATATTTATCAAACTCTTATAAATCAATATTAATCTTATCTACTTTCTATATTATTCCTTTTTATTTTCGGTTTCAAAATATCATGAGACATATACTCTTTAAAGTTTTCCTCGTGAATTATAATAAGATATTGGGCTTCAGCTTCATAAATTGGGCTTCTGTTTTGGTCCGATATGGGACTTGAGCTGATGAGTTGGGCCTATCTGTTGGGTCTATATGGGCCGTCTCACCCTATGGCTCGTAGTCTCGTGAGATAGCCGTATACGTATTCCGCAAGAATACGTACCGTAAAGTGCCGACGATGCGGTCTTTATTTGGGGGGTTAGGGTTTCCATTTCGATTGCTCTACTCCTCTTACCCTCCTCTGCTTCGGCCATTACCAGGTGGAGGAAGGATTGTATAGGAATGGATCCTTTTGGGTCCTCCGCACCGCCGAGCGGGGCGTCGTCGGGTCCGTCTGCTGAGGCCATGATGGAGCAGATCAAGACCCAGCTTGCTCAGGCCTACGCCAAGGAGTTCCTCGAGGTCCCTATTCTTTGTCTCCTGCTTTTCTTGAATGTTTGGATGCATCGTTTCTTGTGAAATTGTTATGTGAACTATTAATCGGTAGAAATTACTGTACCAAAAATCTTGTTGGACGATGATTTTTGTGGAGGGGTTGAGTTTATGATGTATTTGGTGGGATCAGCAAAGAATCATGAATGTGACTTTAGTTTGCTTATAAACAATTGCATACATGAGGGAAAAAATAGCATTCTGGAATTGAAGTGGGGTGCCTTCTCCAGTGTGTGGAGTTAACTGTTCTGTTCTGTAGTGGCTGTGAAAGTGTTGATATCACATTTTTGTGTGATCTATGTGAAAGTGTTGATATCACATTTTTGTGTGATCTGATTGTTAATGTTTCTTGACTCTTGTAATAATCTTTGATATTAATATGTTTCAATCCGATCTCAGCAGGATTTTTAGAAAGTTATTTAGATGTCAAGTGCTGGAATAGTTGACCTCTTGAATATAATGCACATGTATTGTTAATTTGAGTCAATCAGGAGATAGACATATTGTTTTTCTTCAAGCACCAAAAATATTAGGAATTGAGGATGATTCTGCTCCTTGGGGTTGCAGAAAAGCAAATGGATATACAACTAAACAATGTGTTCAAATTTTTTATCGTAAATCATTTAATCCAATGGAATCAAATTTAGTTTGGTACTGGTAGTGTCAAGACATTCCTTGGACTATAATCATCTGATGGACCAAGATTTAACTTGGAGATACATGATTCCAAAGGGATTACTGAAAGAATATAGTTAATTAACAGTTCCTCAATTGCTTGATAATGACTCAAAACAAATTTTGCTGCATACAGATTGATGTCACATATGCCTTCTGTGTCTAAGGTCTCAATATTACTTGAATGCCCAAGAAAGCTCAAGAATGAATTAGAAATAATGGCATTATTTGTTAAGAGGGATGCCTATGTTCAGAAAAACAAGGCTTTATGCCTCTTTCGATCAGGGCCAGACAAAACTTTTACTTTTTTGCTTCTAGATTGAATTAAACTATGTGAAAACGTGCAAGATAAATTTATTGCAAAGTTGACATGCTTTGACATGAACTTGATGTAGAGCACTTTCAGAGGTCAGTATGCATTTTTACTATATTGAGAAGTTTCTATACATCCTTTGGTCGTTTTATTGCAAAGTTGCCACATGTTCTTCAACTACTATGTTTTGATGTTGTCAATTGTCATATGTCGTTTGAATTAAACAGGCAATAATTCTGTATTTTTAAGCTGTGACATTTTAATAACAATGTTTTAGTAAGTTGCACAAGAACACATAATAAAAGAAATTTATTTAAAATATAAAACAACTTGTGTGCGGCATGAATCATCCGCTAGCATAAGAACAATTTGAGAACCCCAACACAATTTTTGACAATCATAATTAACAAAGGGTTGGCATAAGTCACATATACTGGTAATGAAAGCATTACAAACAGAATAGGGAACAGTTGACAGATTAATTACCTTGCTTTTGTGATGGAAATGATAGAACCTGCTTGATGTTTCTGGATCAAGGTTCAAAAAGATTATGACAGATACGTGAGTGATACAGAATTTGGAGGGTTGGTTTTAGTGGATCAGCTGATGAGAATTAGTGACAATTTATGATAATGGGTAAGGTTGCCTCAGTCTACTGGATTGATTAGGAGTTGTTGGGCTTGGTTAAGAATGTGGCTGAATCAATCAATATCCTTCGGAGATTACTAAAATCGATTATAACTGCATAGTATCTATTAATTAGCCCAGGATCAAACATATTGACTGAGATCAACTGAATTAGTCAGAATTGCTTGGATTGGATATGCTGATCCCAAATGAAGTTGTTTGTTGCAACATATTTAAAGAATTTCAGTCTGATTTTCCAAAGAATGGTTTAGTTGCCCAATTGTGGTGCAGGTTAAAGAACCATCACCAGAATTCACTATAAATCCCTAGAAACAATTAGGTAGAGCTTCAAATTTGTTAGATCCAGCTTGCAAGAATTAAGTTGCATCTTCTTCCTCGAACCAAAAACTATTATATTTTGTTAAGATTTTCTTCTTCTTCTTGGGCATTGCAAATTTGCAAGTTTCTTGCTTATTGATGTCATGACTTAAGTACTGATTGCTATCATTTCAAATTTTATTTGCTGCGAAATTCTGTACTGGTAATGTCTTATATATAAGTGAGCAGAAAATAGCAGTCAGGTTGTAGATATGTAATATCGGATGTTGAAGATGTGGAATGAACCTGCTGAATTTTTTGGTCACTCTGCTGAATTTAGCATGATTTGATACAGAAATGTTATGTTTTGTAAGACTGTTTAACTTGTTGTTAACCGCATTATGGTGGCTACTACAAGTAGCACCATCTGATAGATCCTGTTGAAATAATTTATCCACTTCCGGAGTTCAGAGTTTTAATTATGATTTTCAGGTATTTTAATGGAACTAGGAGAAATGAATTAAGAATTAGCTGACTGGTTTGCTAATTAATTAGCAATGGCACTTCTTTGAACCTCTCCGCTAAACACATTGGCCTTGTCTTTTTTTAGATATGCACACCTCTCTCTTAAAAAAAAGGGAGAAAATGTCATCCTGTCCCATGTATTTTTTGTTCATAAATGAAGTCATATTCTGCACACGTCTTGGCATCTTTTCATCTCTGTACGCTGAACACATGCTTGTTAGCAGATCTAAGCTGCTGTCTTCAGTGCAATAATTAAAACCACTTCACAGGATAGGTGGAAATGTGGTTGACCTGTTGATGGAACTTTGGATTTTTTTTCGTTGCTGTTGCATGTTTATGACTCAATTGGTGGCCTTCTTGATTATGCCTGTGGTATATTTTTACTGATGTAAACTCCATCTTGACTTCAGGAACTTCCTCAATTTAGAGAATTGTGCCATATGCAGTGTCATATTAATGGAAAATGAAATAGATGACAGTGGCAATGGTTTAAAATTTTCATTCATGGTTCTCCATTCTTTTTGCACTTATTCATGTGATAGGGTCAATGTTTGATACCTATGTTATTGGTCATTGTTACTGATGGTTCTTGGTTACCTTGTTGCTGCTTACATGTTCCACTCTTTTCGGTTATGCAGACTGTGGGAAGCAAGTGTTTTGCAAAGTGCATAACAAAACCGGGTACGAGCATAAGCGGGAGTGAAAGCAGTTGCATCTCTAGGTGCATCGATCGATACATTGAAGCTACTGGAATAATAAGCCGATCTCTGTTCAGCTCCCCCCACTAGTTTCCGGGACTCAAGCTCTGAGTTACTAGAAGAGATGATGAAAATGATGAAGAGATGCCTTGATAATTATAAACAGATTTTATCTACTTTGATATGCCAGTTTGGACTATAATTCTTGAACATTTCTTGCATTAGATTCAGCCAATGACATATCCAAAAGAATGTATTCTTCAACATTCTTTTTCAGGAGCTGAAATTGCATCGAATAGTGCTTTTTCTTATCTGGATAGGAATTTTATTCTGTGAAATGGATATCTTGGTTCTGACGTAAAGTGATAGTGAACTTGTTACTGTTGGTCCTGGGTGGAAAATTTGGGCCCCATCTTTAACTAGTTGTTCACTCTGATGATGCGGGGCGAATGGATACCGGAGAGTGCTGTTAACGACCGCGTGGGACCGACATGGGTTTCTCTCCAGTCATGAGGCGGGTAAATTTGATTGGTAAGGCATCGAAGGGACGTGGAATAAAGCCACGAATCGCCATCGCGGAATCCACCGTTCTCTCTTGGATCGACTCGTTCCCACGCAAAACAGTCCCTTCCTTTTTGGGGCTTCACAGAGAGACCGAGGAGATCCGAACCAAGCGCTCTCACCTTCTTTCCGTGGTTAAGATGAGTCTTCACAACGCGGAATCACTTCCGATTAATTTTCGTTTGCGTTTCGTGGCAGTCCATGGAGTTTAACGTTTTGATGGTAATAATTCTTGCAGCAATCTGTTCTTCTTCCTCTTTTCTTGATCGGTTTAGGGAAAACGTTTGATCAAATTTCTTTCTCGTCGTCTGGGGGCGAATTGAGCTACATTGTCTGTTCTTAGATGCTTAGCAGCAGTAATTGTCAGTGTTGTGATAGATCTGTCGAAACAAAGATTGATAGTCGGTGACACGTTGGAACAATTAGGTTTTGAGAGGATATCTGCATGCCCATGGCGCCACGGTCTGTGTTTGCCTCATTTTAATCATTCTCTTGGTTTTGCCTCAAATTGTGTGCCCAATTGATGGCTTTTGTCTGTGAAAGCATATCGTTTAAGGTGAATTACCTCGCGTCGATTGAGACGGAGCTCCCTTTCAGCTACCAAGTCTTCCCGACTGTCAACCACAGGGTGGGATCAAGAAGAGCGCCGAGAATTTGGTAGAGCTTCTCATTTGAGATCTTCCATGTCATCGTCGATGAATCCTTTTTACTTGTGCACCACAAACCCATTAAATGAGGACAAGGTGAAGCTCCTGAAGCAGAGAACTCCCGATCTCTATCAGGTCAACATGATACTCGATAATTTGCCTGTGAGGAGGTTCACCAAACGGAATGGCATCACCATCCAGTGGACTGTGCGAAGAGACCTGAGAAGATATGAGGGGTTGGGCAAAAAGGCCCAAACTCAGCTGAAAGAGGAGCTGTCTGGATGGAAACTTGTCGTCAATGACGTCTTCGGGTAGCCAACTTGCTCGAAGCTGCTCTGCGTCATGGTTGGAGATGGCATACAAATTGCAACCATGGTGGTTGTAACAATTGTGTTTGCTGCTCTTGGATTGATCTCTCCTGCTTCAAGAGGCATGCTCTTGACAGGAATGATCGTTCTATATCTTTTCCTGGGATGCTGCTGGGTATGTTGGAGTAAGGCCCTGGAGGACAATAGAAGGCGGTTCACAGGGATCGAGATCTCTTTCCTGGTCGATTGTGTTTCTCTTCCCAGGGATCGTAGTCATCGTTCCTCAGCATTATGAACTTCTTGTAGCTGGGGAAGAAAAGCACACGAGCAGAGCCTTTGTGGTTCTGCATCTTGGTTCCTCTAACCCTTTGGGTTATTGCTTGGGCACTCAAGCGGAACCTATATGGTATCATGTTGTAATAAATCAGAGCTCAATAGAAATTCCTGCCAGAACCCTTCATGGCTCCTTGTCCTTGCTGCCAGAACTCTACCATTTGGGACCCTCTTTATTGAGCTCTTCTTTATCCTTTCCAGTGTTTGGCTTGGTAGGTTCTACAGTGTTTTTAGATTCCTCTTGATTGTTATTCCATTGTTGGTAATTGTCCTAACTTATATGCATCTCTGTGTAGAGGACTGGCGGTGGCGGTGGAAATCTTTCTTTTCTTCTGAATCAGCTGCCCTTTATCTATTCCTCTACTTCATGAACTACTTGGATTTTAAGTTAGGAGCTTGAGTGGGCTTATATCCTTTATCTTGGCTATTTACTGATCATGACTCTTGCAATCATGTTATCTACCGGTGCCATTGGCTTTTTGATGTCTTTTTATTTTGTTCACTACCTTTTCTCATCGGTCAAGATTGATTAAAGGTTTGTCCTCTAAGCTGCAGTGATCTGTATCTTTAGGGATGTAAGTAATAAGTTCAGAGAACCTCAATTCAGGTTTGAGGTGTTCATAATTAAGGCCAAGCACCTCAACATTTTGTCTTCAAGGAAGCATTCTAGATCTTGTTGAATGCACTTGAATACTAGCTTTCTTGTACCTCTATGCTTTTTTTGATCCCACATTAGGAAACATTTTTTTTTTCAATGTTGTCTACTCTTGAAGCTTCTGTTGTAAAGATAATTCAGTATTTCATATGTTCCCTATCTCTTAGTTGAATTTTCTTTATTCATTTACAGCATGAAGATATTTATTTGACTTGTTTGTACATCATTTGTATTTAGTTTTCATATCTCATGCATATCTCTTCTGGATTTTGGTGAATTACAATTAGTAATTTATCGTCCCGATGAATTTAAGGTATATGTTGTTGAGTGGGACAATATTTTTGGTGAAAGGTACATCTATCAAAAATATTTAAATTTCTTGACATTGTAAACTCTGCCAAGATAAATGCAATTAGTTCTGCTGAAGAATCATATCAGTTCAGCTGTTCAATGCTATAGCTACATCTTTACTAGTCTATTGTTTGGAGTAACGTAGTTGAGCTAACACTCTGGTTTGCTGACCTGACAACCGTGTGAAGTCAAAAGCATGTATCAGAGTCATCTCAATACTCAATAATTAATGGATTAATAGAATAAAGAAGGCCATCATGTGGTGGATGATCATTCAATTAGCTTTCTTGGTTGTAATTCTTTTAATGCTTTATGATTAATGTGTCGGACGGTGGTCACGTAGCTAATCCTACAAAATATTGTAATTGCAGGGAGGAGCAGCACTCATGACTCTTTTTGAATTCCTATTTCTCAGTACGTAGCACACAGATCGCCATTCTGGATTCGAGACTGACTTGAGATTTCTCTCCAGTTTCCACCATCCATTGTCGGCACAAGTGCAAGAAGAACATGGCTGCTAGTGGTTTGACATCCGCGGAGCACCGTCTCTGGACCATCTCTTCTTCCGAGTGTACAGGCAACAACAGGTACTCTTTCTTTCACTTAATACGTCCTAAAGGGGGTGTCAAAGGAAGCTTCTCCTGCTTTGGTTTGGCTTGCTCTTTATTGCCCTCGTACACTTTGCATTTTCATATTTTCCATTGATACAAGCTCATGAAACATATGCAATAGATTTGCGATGTTTATACTCAATTGTTATGACATTCTCTAGTGTTCACTTTGGCCCATGGCAATACTACCCGAGATTCTCAATTTGTGAGAACGGACGGCAGAGACAGCACATGGTGTCTCACAACCACCTTCACCTGTGATCTATCTACTCCTCTCCTATTTATTCGTCCCTCATATCAACTTCGTTACACTACCCATACCAATCCTCCGTTCTTCTTCTTCCACATTCCCTGACTCACCCACCTCCAACTGCATCATGGGCTTTCCTTCTGTTTGCTACTGCGTCATCCTCCCCAAGCCTCTACTGCTCGTTGTCCAGCTCGTCGACCTCGTCGTCTCCTTCACCATCTCCTGCCTTGGGCTGTGCCCACCGCAAGAAGACTCCGCTTATCCTTCGCCGGCGACTGCAGTCCACCCTTCTGTGATCAAGAGGAGCCTCCCCATCGTTGAATTCTCGACCCCGAGGAGGAGTCCGGTGCCGCTCGAAGGCGACGAAGCCGTTTGCGCGGTTTGCTTGGGGACGCTGGAGGAAGGAGATGAGGTGAGGGAGCTCGGAAACTGTTGTCATGCATTCCATCGCCTGTGCATAGATAAGTGGGTCGACATGGGTCGGGTCACCTGTCCGCTGTGCAGAACTCAGCTGCTGCCGAGGGGAAGGGCAGAGAAACAGCAGTTGGTAATGGCAGTCGAGTTTATGTGAAGATCTTCTTAGAATTCAAATGGTACAGAATGTGTAGAAGCCTGGATTATATCTTTGGAGTCTTTATTGGAGCTAACAATTAAGCTTAATGAAAATAATGTGCTGATTATTAAGTAATATCTATCAAATTGTAACGTTCTTTATAATGACAAAATGGATCCTGGTAATGCCTAAATCGGGTTCGGGTTCTATTATTCGGGTTGGAGGATGGAAGATCCGGATCCGTGTGGATTCGAGCGAGTGGGTGTTTGCCTCCCCGAGCCACTATAAAATCGGCATCTGTTCGGATACTACCACCGTTCGCGTGGAAATGGAGCCGGATCTCCTCAAATCATCGCTTTTCCACGCCGATCAGCGGCTCTGCTCCGCCGAAATCCTTCCTCCTTCGCAGGTTTGCAGATCACGATCTTCTTTCCTCCTCGTCTTCTTCATCGTTATATGCTTTGTTGGCTCGAAGTTTCTCTTGCAATGGTCTCCAGGTGCGGGCAAGAATCGAAGTCGCCGTCCTCAATTTCCTTAAGAACCTCACTGCTTCCAACCCCGCCATATCCGATCTCCCCTTGGTCTGTCTCTCTCCTCTCTGTTTCTCTCCTTGTAGTGGCTTTGCTTCTAATCTGTGCTACAAATGGGTTGGTAAGGCGAGTTGCCTTTTGGGCTCTTCGTGCCTATAATTGGACGATCGGTTAGAAATAGTTGTACTGGAATCGTGGACATTAACTCTCTTCCTGATTTGTTTCGATTTTACGCTTCATAACATGATTTAGGGTTTCCATGGTGTTTGCCGATGTAGTCATCTTATTGCCATTTCTGATAGCACCATTTTGATGAGGTAGATCAGTAGGAAGTACGATAACAGTGGGTTACGTCATGGGCTTTTGAGTGATGTTTCTTCGGTCTTTCTCTCTCACTCTGTCTGCACAAGGTCTCTCATGAAAGCAAATGATGCGAAGGCGTTTGTTAGAGGTGAGAAATCTGAAGCCAGGACATGTTCCTCGTTTGCTATGTTCGCATCTTGCATGTTCATGTTGTTCTTATGTTTGTTGGGTTGCTATTGTAGTGTGGATGGTTATGGCAATGTGCTTTCGGATTCTTGTCCAAGGGAAGCTTGCTACCCAGAGGGAGCTTTTCTATAAGCTGCTTTGTGACGCACCTGAATATTTCAGGTCACAGCGTCAGGTCAACAGAACAGTACAAGGTCATTTTTCCCTTTCTACTCAAAATAGTGTCGTTTATGTCTTATTGCTTAAGTTTGCTGTATATCCATTGCAGATGTTGTGGCATTGCTCCGTTGCACTCGGCATAGTCTAGGCATCATGGCATCCAGCAGAGGTGCAGTTATTGGACGCATGGTGTTAGAGGTGCACTCTCCTAACTTATGTTAAGGTTGTATTTTGCAGATGTGACATGTAGGATTCATGTTTGTAGATATTACTGCCATGGGAGTCAACCTACAGAACAACCAAAGATTTTGAAAACATATCAACTGTAATGTTATTTCCCCTTTCTTAGAATTACATTAGATATTTGACGGTTGATTTAAAGTGTTACTTGATCTTAGGAGCCTGGTGAACAGATTGTTGATTGTTCCATGATTGGACATGCTGGCTATGCTATAACTGGGGACCTTTGTACGTTGAGCAAACTTGTTCTACATTCTGATGCTCGATATATCATTATAATAGAGAAGGTACATTCAGGTCTCCCGTGATTTACTTATGTTGACAATTTCTTTTCAGTCTGATTAATTTATTTTTATAATTCGAGTAGGATGCTATATTTCAGCGGTTGGCAGAAGATCACTTCTTCAATCAAATACCATGCATATTAATCACTTCCAAAGGATATCCTGATATTGCCACAAGGTAGAAGCAAGTGTTATTCTAGTACATCAGTTTGTTCTTTCTTATATATGGGTACACCTACATGGGAAATGTTGAGGTTGAAAATAGTGTGTAGGATCAGGTACAAAAGGTCTTGCTAAGGACAGAAATGTGGAAATGCATTTTTGGAACATCACATAATCATAACTTTTCATTTGGCTGGTGTTGTTGTGCAAGCCTTTCTGTGCTATTTGGTTGAGCTCATACAAGTGTGTGGATGCTTGAGTGTGGAGGGCGTCTTGCATTCTGGTAGAGAGTACCAATAGATAGCTATCTCTGTTTCACATGCCCATGTATATTGTATATCAAAGATGAAAGCCTTTTATGGAATATTGTATATCAAGAACAGATGCATGGAATCTTGGATATAAATGTTTTAGAAGACAGTTTAGAAAGCCTTTTATGAGGTGAAAGTTATTATCAAAGTTTAGGAACAAATTTATGTCATTTATCAGATATTAGATAAACCTGGGTTGGGATTATTGTCTTGGTGAAAAACCGATAGTTTCTTTCTTTCTTTTAAAGGATTATTGATTCAGAGCCATATTGATCAAAGAGAATTACGAATTTAGTGAATAGAAGAAACAAGTATATGCATGTGTTTTCTTTTTTGCTGTTTAGAGCCATATTGTTAATTTGGTTGCTTCTTGATTTTAGTGTGATGATTCATAGACATGGAAATACAAATGCTTTGTATCTATATATGTAGTGAAAACTGCGTCTTTGGATGTTACCACATGCTATTACATGCTCTAGCAATTTTGTTTAGCTTTTGCCCCGTCATGAACTTTTCATCATAGCTTGGTCAGTTTCACTTCTTAATTTTTTTTATGATTGGATCATGATATAGGTCATGGAGATAACCTCACCAATTCTAAGGTAAGATGGGTTATAGTGGCCTTCCCATACCCCACACCTTTAGGAGCCCATAAACTAGCTGTTCCTTTTTATGATTTCTTGATAAAATACCATCAATTTATTTAAACTATATTTATTATGTAACGTCCCGGTTTAGTCCCACATTTGAAGTTGGCTAAGACTAAGATTAATTTGGTCTAATGGACATTCTACTATTAACCTCTATTTAAATATTTTGGACCTGTGGTTCAGGCTTAGCAAAGTTAACAAGCTAGTTATCCTGTCAGGTCGGATCATAACAATTATATAATGTTACTAAATCTGTGCATGCAAAACCTGCCCCCAGTGTGACCTTAAGCCACAAACCCTACTTCATGTGTAGCTACTGCCTTCGTCGTCATCGCTTCCTCTACCGCTACATTCGCCGTCAACGCACAAGATCAATGCTTCCTATGTCGCTAACTGACGAGCCTGAAGGTCTAGCTTTCATCTGTAGTTCCCTCCACCTTTGCTGCTTTTGTGTGCAGCTCCTTCCACTGTCGAGGGAGAGGACCGCAGTGGAAACTACTAATCGATACATCTAAAGCTTCCTCCGCCCACAATGTCACCATCCACAACTTCCACCATCGTTGCTATCATCGTTTGAAGCTTTATTCATCCCTATTGCTGTCGTTCGTAGCTTCCTTCGTCGTCATTGCTGTTACCATCCGCAACTTCCTCCGTCGCTACCACCGTCATCCGAAAGTTCTTGTTGCCCTCTCCTTCCCTACTTTCTACCATCAATGACTCTTTTCTCTCCTCTAACTATTGTTAACAGTAGATTGTTAAATATTATTATCATATAATAATCCCTATTTAAATTTTAGCATTGCTAATCTCTATATTAATTATTTTTTATATTTTTATATGTTAATATTTCAGAGCGCCTCGCTTTGCTTGAGCGGATGCCTAGTGCCTCAGGTATTTTCGGACCTTAGTGTCATTTGGCGTCTAAGCTTTTTAAATCACTAATCGGAAGCGGACGAAAACTAAGATTGAGTTATAAGGGTTCGATGGGTGTATTACTATTAACTTTTGTTAAGCATTTTGGACCAATAGTTTAGTCTCAATGAAGTTAACAGGTTAGTTATCCTATCAGGCCGCATTATGACATACTGTTTCTAATTAATAATTAGTCCTTGTGACCACTTAGTCTATTGTATTATGCACATATTAAATTAGGTATTATTTTTTCTTTCTTTTTTACCCTTTCTTGTCTCATACAGTTGAATTTTTGCTAGATCAGTGTTACAAACAGGAAGTTTAACCCATGTTTAACAGTGGTGGACACACTATATACAAGTTACAAAACAAGTCTGCCTAAGCCATCCTGACTATTGCTGACCTTGGGAGCAGAAGCTTTTAATCATCTCTGGAAAACAGAGAGGGACATCATAAGAGTGAAAGCAGCCTTATAGAAGTTCCTGTTAGATACCTTTATTTGTACCTTGCTAATTGACCTTCTTTATACTGGAACTAAATGCAAAATCAAGGTCCATGCAGAATGTCAGACATTTTGTTTCTAGTGTCTTGTAAGTCTTTTGTTGCCATCACAATGTTGACACTAATAATCTGGTTGATTCTTTATGACTAATTTTATCTCTAAACAGGTTTTTACTGCATCGGATAAGCCAGACTTTTCCAGACATGACAATCTTGGCTTTAATGGATTGGTGGATCCTTCTAAGTCCTCTTATTATGTCATTCTTTAGATTATTTACTCATGTGTATTTAATTGCAAAGTTTTTGCAGGAACCCAGCTGGATTGGCAATACTATCTACCTACAAGTTTGGAAGCATAACTACTGGTTTAGAGTCATACAGATATGGTACTTCTTTTAACAACTCATGCTGGAGAGTATGCAGACATTAGTTAATAAAATGTGTCTATCTGATTACAATTACAGCTTGCAATGTTAAATGGCTTGGACTGCGAGCAGATGATCTGCAGATTATACCTCAACAAGTGATGATGCAGTTGAAGCCACATGAGATAAAAACAGCTAAAAGCCTAATGTCTTCCAAGTTGTTGCAGGTATGCAAGATTAATTTGCCAGTTTTATGAAATTTGGTCATGTTCTGTATAATAATTTGTATTAGATGGCCATATGCAATGTAAAAATGCCTAAATACAGAAAAATGATTCATAACTTGGAGACGGGAGGTAAAAGAAATGCATTGTTCATGGTTAATTTTGCCATGCATAAAGAAATTGGCGAAAAACTGAAGTAGATAGATCGAAAACTTTAAACCCCAAAAGACATTTGGCTATGGATCAACATTATAGATTAGCCTTAAATTTTTTGACTTCGCCAATTGGGGAGCTATTTTACTGAAATA